GTTGGTAAATGATCTAAGATGAAATGATTAGTCCAAATCCCCATGGCTGGAGCTGTATTCAACTCGTGACTTTACCAACTCTGTGTGTAGCATGTTACAGTTTATGATGCACCTGGAATCCTTCTTATAACTGCAGGTGTAGGTGTTCTTCAGTTTCAGACGAGGAAAATGAGGCTGATGGAGATGACTTCCTTGGGATTGTATAGCTAGGAGGTGGCTGGTGCTTTTTCCTCTCTTTGGGTCCGCCTTTAGTTTTACTCTCAAGGAATGATACTTTGGAGGCTGCGTTTGTTTCTGGAAGGACTTTTGTAGTATTCATTTTGAAAGAAGCAATAGGTCCTGGCAATGTATGAATTTTGAGAAGTAGATGAAGTGGTATCCAGAAGAAAGGGTGGCCTGTCATCAATACAGGTGAAGGTTTACGGCCAACACTTGATTTTTAGCAAACACATTCACTTTCTGATTGAGTAGAATATATACTTAGTGTAGCTGTAATTCTTTGACTTTGGCCTGAGCTACAGAAAAATTATTTATTTATTTATTTATTTATTTATTTATTTATTTATTTATTTATTTATTTATTTATTTATTTATTTATTTATGATAGTCACAGAGAGAGAGAGAGAGAGGCAGAGACACAGGCAGAGGGAGAAGCAGGCTCCATGCACCGGGAGCCCGACGTGGGATTCGATCCCGGGTCTCCAGGATCGCGCCCCGGGCCAAAGGCAGGCGCCAAACCGCTGCGCCACCCAGGGATCCCTAGAAAAATAAATCAAAATATAAAATTTTATATAGATGTATGTTACATCAAATTAATGTACATTAGCTTTAAACAAATCATAATAGAAATGTAACATACAATATGTTGTATATAATAGTATATAGTATGGTAGTATATGATATGTAATATATATAGTGTTTATAGCATACTATATTAAAATAGCTTATAAATATATAATATGTTGTTGAATGAGCTCTATGTTCATTATGTATCGATTAAAATAGCTTTAAGATTCTAAAATTTAGTAAAGCTTATTTAATCTCCTTGAGAGGAAGTGAATTTATTTTATCACATAGGATTGAAGGGGTGTATTATTTAACAGAGGAAGCATTGAACTAGAGATTGGTGGTTACTGCTTATCCTGATGCTACCAGAAATTGGATGTTACTCAGAACTATTTTTTTTCTCACCTGTAAATTGTGAGAGGATTGTAGTCAATCTTAAGAGTTTTTTCCTAAGATATATCTCAGCTTTGCAGGTGCATTTCAGCAGCAATGTCAGTGGCTGTCAGTGTTAGAATAGAAGCAACTGGCCCTAACATCTTCAAATAGAAAGTCCCTTGTCATTGTCCTTTCTAACTTCCATTTCTCTTCCAAGAGGAGTCTTAGAATTTTCTTCCAGAGACCCCAGCTTTTGAGCTGTAGTCTTTCCATTAACTGTCTCCCCTGCATTCTGGTCTGGCTCCTGGAATATAAGTAACCGCTCAGGTACAGACTGTTTTGTATCACAAAGACCTTAAGTATTAAGTAGTGCTTGGCCTAGTAAACATTTGGTAAGTGATTCAGTAATATACAAGAGCTCACAGTTTTGTGGAAAGGCAAATACTTGTTCTGTCGTTGGATTGCCATGTTGGAGACTTGTGCACGGTATAGTGAGGCACCAATAAGGGTGGCCTCAGGCAGGCAGAGTTGGAATGGAGTGGGGAACCGATTTGGTCAGAGAAGGCTTTAGGATGTTTGAATTGGATTTTGAAAGGTGATTCCCTCCCATGAGGCCAGGGGAGAAGGCAACGTAGCCATGTATAAAGGCAAAGAGACGGCCTCCAATAAGTAGCCGGTGTGGGTGGAGAACAAAGTATGAAGTATTAAAGCAGAGGCTATGGAAATTGAGGTTGGAGAATTAGGCATCACCAAATGATGTGGAAGTCTTGAATGCCGTGCAGAAGAATTTGGACTTCTCTGTCAATAGAAGGTATGAAGGATTTTGAAGCTGGGCATTGCCATTGTCAGATTTGCATTTTAGGAAGATTATTAATGGTACCATGAATTAGGGCAGGGGAGATAGGATGGCAGAAGAAATGTATTCATTAAATATTTCGGGGTTGAGAAATTGATAGCCAAGAGAATGAGGGAGAACGAAGAGTCAAGGCTAAGCCTTATGTTCTGATTTAGAAAGCTGGGTGGAGGTGGTATCATTAATGAGATAAGGAAAGCAAGAGGAAGAGGAGATTTTGGCAAATGTGAATTCAGTTTAGGACATTTTGGGCGTGAGGTGCTTGTGGTCTGTCCAATAGGATGTGTCCTTTAGGCAATGCAGTATAGAGGTCTAGCTTTTGGGATTCAGGTCTTGGGCTGGTGATAAAGGATTTAGAATTCACTAATTTATCAACTGCAGTTAAAAGTCGAGGGAGTAGATGAGATAACCAATGAGAGTAGTTAGAGCGAGAAGAGAATAAAGGCAAAGAAGCGAATGTGGGTCCTTCTGGCATTTAAGGGTAGGCAGGCCAGGGGAATCCTGCAACAGATGTAAGATGTGGCCAGAGTCCTAGGACAGTCAGGATAGTGGGAGGTCAGAAAAGCCAAAAGGGGTTTCCAGAAGAGGACAGTGACCAAAGGTGTTAGATGCTAAAAGGGAAGCCATGTAAGTTAGGTGTTTTATAAATGTAAATATAAACGGTATTTATTTACATAAATATAAAAGGTTACTTGTTTGGTCATTTTTGACTTTTACAAAAACACCACTGTATGGGGTTATAAGCTAGATGGTGGTGAGTCAAGGAAGTGGAAGTTGGATAGAGGAAAGGGTTCACCCAGGTACATGGTTCAGAAGCCTGGATGTCCTGAGGACTTCTGCTTTGCTTCCACATCTAGTCAGATGCTGAGTCTGGCAGTGAAGCAGGGTACCTGAATGGGTCCTTGGGTCTCAGACTTCTGGGTTTGAATCCTGGCTCCATTACCAATGAAATGTAAAATCAAGAGCAAGGTATTTAATCTGGCCGTGCTTTAGCTTCTCACCTATACAGTGGAGACAGTAAAAGTATCTATTTCCCATGACAGTTAAAGATTAAATGAGTAAAGTGTTTTGTTTAGTGTAATGCCTGGCACATAATAAGCACTTAGTGAATGTTAGCTAGTTTAAATCCTAAATATCTTTTGAATGTGTTCCCTTTGGATTATCATAATAGTTTTTTCCCCCTTAAAACAGCTTTATTATATAATTTACATATTTTAAAACTCACCTGTTTCTGTGTACAATGCATTCCAATAAATTTACTGAATTGTGCAACCATCAGCACAATCCAGTTTTCAAACATTTTCGTCAAAACAGTAAGATCTGTCCTGTCCTTTTATAGTTAATCCCCATTCCTACTCTAGCCCTAGGTATCTACGTCTCTACTTTGTATCTATGCAGAGTTGCCTTTTTCTGGGCATTTCATATAAAGGGAATTATACAGTATGTGGCTTTTTGTGCCTGGCTTTCTTCCCTTAATTATTGTTTAGGTCTATACATATCATAGCATGTATCAGAACTTCTTTTTATTGCGGACTTGTATTCCATTGTATAGATACCTGATGTTTTATTTATCCATTCGCCAGTAAATGGACATTTGCTTGGTTCACTCCTGCTATATTATGAGTAATGCTGCTATGAACATTCCTGCACAAATCTTTGTGTGGACATATGCTTAATAGCTTCTTAATTGGTCCTTTAGCTTCCTTCAGGGGTCCTACTGCTTCTGTTCTTGTCCCACTCCAATCTGTTCTCTACGCTGTAGCTGGAGTGATCTTTCTAAAATGTAAGTCTGATCTTGTCACTGCCCTGCTTAAAATCCTTCAGGATCAGTTCAAACTGTTTCACTTAAGGGGTTTACTAAGAGTCTTCAAGAATCTAAAATCTCATTTCTCTCTCCACCTTCTCTCATGGGTTCCCTCTCCCCTGCCCCAGCTTCCTGCTTCAGTCGTTCTTGCATTCATTCATATTGTTTCAATAATTTGTTTAGCCATTCATCCAATTAACCAGGCTTATTGGGGCTCGGGGGATATAATAGGAGAGCCAAATGTTAGCTTTCATGGAGCTGCCTTTTGAGTGTAAAAGGCAGACAAACAAGAATGCCTCACATAGTGGTAAGTGCAATAAAGAAAATAGAGAAGAATGGTATGATAGTAATTCCAGGGCTGAGGACTCTCAGAGTCTCCACCTTATTGCCAGCCGCCTACTTGTTATCTGTGCTTAGTGTCTAATGGCAGCAAGCTGTTTCTTCTCATCTATACCTGCCATGTGTTCCCTCTTCTTGGAGTACTCCTAGGCTAAGTCTTCTCTTCTTAAGGCCTGTTTATCTTTCCCAGCCCCAGTCCTACACCCAAAGCCTGGCTAGATGTCCTGTCCCATATGCTTTCTGGAGACTTCCATTCTAGGCTGGCTGACTCAGGTGGTGCCCTTCGCATTACATTTCAGTGCCTGATGATGGTTTCTTCTCCTCCACTTCAAGCAACTTCATGACTATTGAATACCCCAAATCTAGTCTAGTGTCTGGCACAGATTTGGTACATAATAAAATTTGTTGAAAGACCAATTGTTTGTGATTAGCTTGAACAGGAGGGAGGGAAGGATACCATTTCCTTTGGGACTAGAGGGAAGGAAGGAGCTAAGACCTGTTGCTTGCAAAATTAATTTGTAGGATTAGGGGAGGAAAGTTGGCGTTTTTCTGGGCTTACATTTTCTCAGAGATTACAATTTGGTGCACTGTATAAAATGAGGAAAGGAGTTCTTTATAATGAGCTAGCTATTAGCAGTGCATTCGAAGAAATAAAGAAATAGTGCTGTGGGGTGCATCTTGAAATCTGACAACTGTTCTTTCTGGCTTTTAGTTTCGTAACTTAGATTTCTTCAGGCCATTTGTTACACATATTGATGTGGATGACTATGTTATTTGGATGCTATGGTACTATTTCCTTTCTTGTTTTTTTATAATTGATTTTATTTTGATGTGCCTTTTCAGCTTTCGGAAAATGTGATTGATCGTATGAAGGAAACCTCCCCATCTGGTTCGAAGTCTCAGCGGCATTCCAGTGCTTATGGTGCCTCAGGTATTTTGAAGTTTTAATTTTAGAACTTTTAGTGGGAAAACTGTAATGATAAAAGTTTATTTGATTAGCCAAATTCTTCTGCATGTCTTTTTGCTTATTGTTACTTGGGTGTTTGGTTTTTTTATATACAGAGTATTAGAAAGCAGTACTAGGGTTTCTTTTAAAACATTTTGCACGAAAAGGAGAATAAATCGATTTTCAAACAGTCTTGGTAGAATTTTTTTTCTGATCCAGTTTCTGAACCCTCTGTTAAGCTTTGGCAGGTTACTTCATGTCTTTTGTGTAAAATGAGTTACCTATAGGGATATTAGAGAAAAAGGAGTAAATATTTATAATAAAAGATTGAACTTAGAAAATATTGATTTACTGTTTGCAAATTGTGAACTATCTTCAATGCTTTTATTTCCTAATCGATTTCTTCTGAGTTTATAAACAGTTTATTTCTTCTCAGTCTTCATTATTGATGAAAATAAGATGTTAAATTTGACATCTACAGAGAATTACTAAGCCTCATTTTATTTATGTATCCCATGGCTAAGACTATCTCCCTTTTCTTTGCTTCCCCCTCCCCGTCCATTTATTCATCCAACAGGTATTTATTGAGCACCTGCTATGTGTCTGTTACTGTTCTTGTTGCTGCCCAGTTTGATGGATGGACGGACATACTGTTTATTGGGGAAATGGTAATGAGAAAATAATCGAGATGATTAATCTTGGACTAAGCAGTTTCTGTATTTATTAGAAAGGGTGTTGTATGGTAAATCTGCCTCCAGACTGAAATACATTGAGAAAGATGGGATGCTGCCCAAATGCCATTCACCTGGGGACAGTTGTGACCTTACTAATCATTAGTTGTAACCATGAATTGAGCTTCCGATATGTTTAAGACAGAGGGTAAGAGATGAGTAAGAAATAGTTGGGTAAGAAGTAATGAATAAGAAGTAGTTCTTAAGAAACTCCTTGTTCAGTGGGGGTGTTAAGAGGGGTTCACCATTCATTAATATTAAAAGTAACCTCTCCCTCCTTGCTGGAAACCCTTTCTTTGGCTTCTTCCCACCCTTCCAGTATCTTCAGCCTGGTTGTCTTTGCCAAATTCCACTAAGTAATCTCATCTGAATGTATGGCTTTGGAATGGTAACCTCGATGCCTGAGGCTCCCACAGCTATATCCCTAGCCCTGACCTCTCCCTGAAACAAAATTTAGACAGCTGCCTACTTGAAATCTCTGCTCTCAGATCTTCAACTTAACATATCCAAAAGAAGCCTTTCTCTTCTTCCCCAGACTTGCTTTTCTCTTCTCTCCCAGTAAATGACACAGGTGGGCAAGTCCCAAACCTGGGTCCCATCCTGTCCTTACTCCTTACCTTAGGCCTTTAGCCAGTCTTGCCCCATCCATCTTCACAACACATCTTCTATGACCCTTTCACATCATGGCTGCAGCCCTGATCCAGACAACCAGCGTCTCTCACCTTGCCTTCTTAGGAGCCTTGTAACTGGCTTCCTGTTTCCTCTCTCATCCCCTTACATTTTGCCATGCACACAGAGGCCTTAGTCTTGGGGAAAAAAATCAGCCCATGTCGCATCCTGGTCCCTGTCACATACCAGTCCATGTCACATGGTACATGGAATACTATTTAAACAGCTTTCCTTGGCCTCTGAGGCACGCCATGACTGGACCCTTTCTGTTTTCCATCTCATCATTTATCATCTCCTATCACTCTCCTTTTACTTATGCACAGTGGCTGCCATCTCCACCAGAAGATAAACTCCAGGGACCTTGTCCCTTGTCTGTCTGTTCACAGCTGAATTCCCAGCTCCTGGAATAGTTCTTAGTGCTTAGAGTTGAATTGCTTTAGGGCAGATGATATTTTACACACACACATATATATTTTTAGAGAGCACATATGCATGTGTAAGTGGGGGAGGGGAGAGAGGGAGAGAATCTTCTGCAGGCTCCACACTCAGCATGAAGCCTGACATGGGGCTCAGTCTCACGATCCTGAGATCATGACCTGAGCCGAAATCAAGAGTCTGGATGCTTAACCGACTAAGCCACCCAGATGTCCCCATTATACATTTTGAAAGTAGCTACTCATGATCATTCTGGAATATAATTCTATAAATTTAATTCAGATGACATTCATTGAATGACTACTATTGTGCAAATAAGGTTGGTATTTTGAGAGGACACAGAAACAAACAAACAAACAAAAAACCAAAAACTCTCTCCTTTCAAAACGTTCAGGGATTTTGGAGGGAAACAACTAAGTATATGACAAGACTATAAGAAAGATAGAAGCATGAGAGAAACCTAGAAGATATTAAAATTAAGTATATCAAGAATAACTTTTGGTGTGTGGATGTTTTTTAAATTGGAGTTTGATCTAAAATATGATTTTTTCTAGGTAGATTTCTTTTCTGCCTGCTGTGTTAGGGAGATAGGATAATAATGGTGAGAAATAATGAAGCGATAGTGATAAATTATACTTAAATAATGTTATTTGTGTGCCAGCACTGTGCTAAATCATTTATATGTCTTACTTGATCCTTATAATTCTATGAGGAAGGGACTGTCACTAACCCATTTTACACAGAAGGAAACTGAGACTTGACATGTTTAGTTTTCCTGCCCAAAGTCACAGAGCTGGAGGCGACAGTTGAATTCAAGCCTGTTTGACTGTGAGCCCCCCTGTTTTATTATAATCTGCAGGTCACCTTGCTAATTTCTGTGGGAGGAATGTGACAGAGTCTAGTTGAAGGGAAAGGGCTCCCTTCTAGTGACATGCTGCTTGGGTTTAGGAAAGAACCTTCTGTCTGTAAGCGATTGTTGCCTCTTCCGGCTTTTCCCCACTTTGGTTCTCATTCAATAATGTGAAAGGAGAGAAGGTGTTTTCCTTCTCTGGCTGGTTTCCTGAACTGACACGTTGAGAGGGTGGGTCTGCATGGGGAGGTGCTCCATGCCTGCTCACGGTCTGGCCTGCGGGGCGTGACCTGACACTGGTGTATCTGAGGGAGCCATCACTGCCCATTCCTAGGTTTGATCTGACTGATGAACTCTGGTGCGCGACCAGCCTGGGCACTGAAAACTCTTCGAATGCCACCTTGTGTTTGGTGGTCAGGCTAGAACTGAATGCTGAATGGTGGCCCCTAATCACCTGGGGGTGTGAAGATTCAAATTAAAATGGATTAAAATGAAATAAATTGAGATTTTAGTTCATCAGTTGTACTAGTCGCATGTCAGTGCTCACTATACGCAGTGTAGGACACTTTCAGTGTTGCAGAATGTTCTATTGTGCAGTCTAGTCTAGAACATATCAGGGCATGCCATCGTGAGCTCCATCACATGATTTTAATGATGTGACTGAGGTCGTGGAACTTGATGGCACTGTGTGTTTGTGAATCTTGTTGCCTGCCTTTCCCACATCCCAGCTCCTCTCCAAGGATTGTGGGTAAATGGACACTTTAGGGAATATTTCCCTGGGTGTACTATCTTCACTGCAGTCTGTAGAAGCTTCCTGACCTGTGTGTTACGGGTGTATTGGAGGTATTGATTCCTTAGACTCCCAAGTAGCTGAGAAACACCTGTACCCTCTTGTTCCACACAAATTGTGGAAAATTGCTTTTTCTGTCTGTACCACGATGTGGTATATAATGTGGCCCTCTGAGTAGAATATATCCCTAACCTATTCCAGCCCAACTCTGGAAAAGAACCTACATCTGACGTGCTGTTTTGAAATGATCTTGCCCTTAGGTTAAGAGTGCAATTAGACTATGATTGTGCAAATTAACAGAGATTTATTCTTAAAATAAAAAAAAAAGTTTGTAAAGTAGAAAGCCTCAAAGATTGTTCTTTTCTGCGTTTCTCTCATTTGGGGGTTTCAGTTAGTACTCAGTTATAGATTTAAGATTTATAATTTAGATGTATTATGAAATAATTTTTCAAGTCTACAGAAATATATTGATAAAAATGTCACCAGCCTTTTCTACATTTTTCAGTGTCAAGCAAATTATATATTAAATGTGAGTTGAATTTTTAGTATTCATTAAAATGCCTTCTTCCTCATAGGATTCTAATTCATACCAGCCCTAGGCTATTCATATGTGTGAATATAGGGCAATGCATTTGATGGACTGAGAGCCTGAGGATTTCTGTATATAGGAACTAAGTTTTGTTGTATATATATAGTTTTGAAAATATAATTTACGCTATAAGGAAGTGAGTTCCTCTAAAGATTTTATTGAAACTATTTTTTTTTTTTTTTTTTTTTGCCAAACCTTGAACCAGATCAATGAGTCGTTGCAATAAGTATTTGCATGTAAAGCTGTTCAGGCAAAATAATATAATACGTGACACACAGCAGATTGTAATGCCACTTTAATAAATGAATGTGCTCTAAAGAATTTAACTGTGTCCTCACTGCCTCAAATTCTTCACTGTGTTGTGTGTTATCTCAACTATGTTGGCTTGCTTTTACACCAGGGAATTTTTTTTTAGGCTGTCTTAAAGGGATGCCACTTGCACATAGTTAAAATCTGACCTTTTCATTAACATCTCACATCTTTTGATTTTAAAAACCAGAGTTGGATATTGATTTTCTTCATTTCCACCCTGATTCTTTAGTTTTTCTGGCTTACAGTGAGGTCACACCTTTCGTGTTTGACCCTATCTAATGTTGAGAAAACTCTGTCCCCAAATCAATAGGAAAAAACCAGGTAGAAAATGATCTCAGGAGGCTATCTGTTGGTTTCCTAAGCCATGAGCAACCAGAGTAAAATGATGAATCTGGAAAAAAAGACAAATGAACTCACTTTTGTTATTATCCTCACTGTGCAAGTTTCTCTGCACATTTCTTGTCATTGTGAAAAATAAAGATTTGCCGATTGGTGTTAAGTACATCACTGAGATCACTAAGTATTTGGCAGCCTTAACAAATTGCAGGAAACCAATTTAAGCTGGAAATAGCACAGCCTAAACTAAACAGCCAATTTAGGGAAATAGAT